AGAGCATGCAAATGAGCAGGACGACATACACGATAACTAGCAACGCGGGCGGAGCTACTGTGCAATCTCGCGTCTCAGCGCCCCTGTTTTATAACTTCTCACGCAATACTTCTATAAGCTTGTCAATTACGGTCCACACTACCTTTTCGTACAGAGAGTTCAAATTTCTAGAAATGACACTGACCTGTGTCCCCTCAAGACTCACCTGGTAAAATACAGGATCGGAAAAATTCGCGCAATGGCAGCTGCTCCTTGGTAGTTTTGAGACTGTTTCTGGCCTTCTGCGATCCAGCGGTGGAGTCGAGTTCCGTTACCATCGAAGCTTTTCCGTTGCTTTGAACTCTGCAAAGGATAATGGTGGTCAAAAATCACTAAGATAGCAGGCGGCCTTGGAAAACAATTCCTTGGTCACACTTTAGATTTTGAATACGTTACAGTTTCTGGACAACCCTTCCGGAATACAGGTATAATATAAGTAAAATATTCTGGATCAGGGACTTGGTTTATGGGTATAGCTTCGTGGCAAACAGGATCACATGCCTATTTTAACTCTCCGTTGAGACCTGCGTACCAGTTATTGTAGCCGTTTTCACTGGAGATGCTGGGGCATGTCAGAGGTCTGGGTTTGGCGCGGCGGCAGCTCGTTCTCCAACGTTTGCTGTAGCGGGCAACCGTAGCCAAGCCTATTTTCTATAAATGCGACAAGTCGTCCTTGAAATGTGAGACCAAGCAAAATGCTGGTGAAGGACGGCACTGCGTCGTTCCGGACGCTTCTCCCACATTGCTCTCTCCAACCTAGGAGATGCTCCACGTAGCTAAGGGCATGACCTCTTTGCTTGTTTTCAAGCGGTTCCCAAAAGAGTGTGCTCTGCCAATTCCTGAACACTCTGGCATAACTTTCCGACCATGGACATTGGGCTCTGGTTGGAGTACTAAGTCTCACAATCAGTCTTTTGCTGACCGTCAAGGGTGCTTATGAAACATGCCCATCTCGGACAAGGCATGCGGAATCCATAGAGCTTTGCCATAGCTCGATCCATTAAAATTCTGAATGGTGTTGCCGTGCGAACCTTAAAAGTAGCACAGGGATCCACATACAACTCATGGTTCAGGGACCTCTATACAAAGTGACTCGTGCCACACTGAGGCTAATTTCGACATTGCATTGCTCCTGGCGGAACACTCGAGCCTTTGCCCCAGAGTACACTAGTAGTGCATGGTTCTCATGAATCTACGCTCTCAGATGGCTCCTCCTGCGCTGGCTTCCAACTTGTATTGATAGGGTTTAATTCAGAGTAATAGGCTGATTTGTTCCGACTCTCGGCGATTGGTCTTCAACGGACATCCCGTTTTATAGGTTCTGGTTTCAGCTTCCAATAGAAAAGTTCGGGTTAGAGCCATCTGGTGGGGAAAGGAAGCGCTAGGTAACTTTATGAGCATGCACTCGATTCTTTCTGCGTTTTGTACTTAAGATTCTGAATGAATTCTTCACCATTGAAGAAACTGCCCACTAATTGGAGAGGAAACAGCTAACTACAGCACTTACTGGAGCACAGTGCAAGAGTAATCCCAGTCATAGGACAGGATTTTGCATGCAAAACGAAAATTATCTCTCGCAGAGCAGCAGAGGTG